AAAAAAAAAAAAAAAAAAAGATAGAATATAATAAATAGTAAGATCAACTAAAACCAGTGGTACCAAGAAAACAGAATAGGAAAAACTCTGGGTGCTTAGATCAATAATTCTTGAGGAGAAATCTTCAATAATCAAGAGGATTTAGGCTACTCCAGATTTCACTTTGTTCTGCTATTTTTATTATCAATTATTCAAGCACATAGCATTTAAGTCAATCCATGTTTTTAATAGTTTTATACAGAAAGAAATGCCAATTGATATTTTTTGTTTTCATATATTCATGAGAAAAAAGAAACCTGGAAGAAAATTATTCCCAGAAAGAGACAGTGCCCTGGACATAGCCGCAAGGCCATGGACCCTGAGGTCAGTTCACCTCTTCCATTCAGAAGCCACCTGACTTCGTCCATCAGGTTTTCTGAGCCATGGTTTCCTGACTATTAATAATGCCTATTTTATAGGAACTACAGTTTCTTTACTGATAAAATGAGTGTGATCTGTGATCATAATACCCAGATCCAGAGCTACCGCGGGAATCAAATGAGCTAAATATGGACATGTGAGTTATAAATTGTAAAAGATCAGGCCTGGATTTTGGCACCTCCCTGATATTTTGTTAATGAATAGAAAACCAAATGCTTGTCCATTGATACCTAACTAATACCAAATACATAAAGAACAAACTAAAAATCTTAGTTATAAGCAGATAACATTTTTTAAAAGTATTATGTCCTTAAAACGTTGGACTTTGTAAATGAAAGAAGAAGCATATCAGGAATCAGCTTTGATAAATAAAAAGAGAATAACTTATCTAGAAAGGCCAGTTACTTAATAATCCTTTGCACATATAATTAAGCTCAAATTCCCCAGCCAGGCTTTTGCCTCTGCCCACCACTACACTGACTACCTCTCCTCAACTTTTCCTTATCATTTGTTTTGCAACTTAGATCAAAAGCTAGTATTCAGTCTGGTTTTATCTCTATAGAAGACCTTGGTAATATAACTTCAAACCACAGAAGTGTGGGCCCGTGGGTACTTTTTCTCCCCCACCCACAGCCCAGAATACCATGATAGTCTTTTTTACCATCCTTCTTTGCTTCTGGGTGGATTTCTATCCTTCCTTTTCACCAACAGACTCATTTTTGGAGGATCACAGCGGGTAAAATTTATTCTAATTGCTATTTCAAGTTAGGCTCCATGCCTTTTTCTCCCAGGGATGGACTTCCTGATATTCCATCTGGCATCTTTTTGTCCAGAGGGATCAGGCAGGAGTTGTGCTTCTTCACACATCTCCTTATACCAGTGCAGTCATTATTGTAATTATCCAAAAAAAAAAATGAAGTACTTTATAAGCTGACTAAATTGACTCAAAAAAGAAAGAAAATTGAGCCTGTGCCAAAACAAAACAAAAACGGTTTTTTCTTTTGGAAAGTTTGCTAAATGCGAGACACACACAATGTAATAATGGAGGTATGTATGGATAAGACAACTTGAAAAAATTAAGGGAAAATAAGCATTAAAACCTTAAAATATTTAGGTCTCAGTTTTTTGACAATTGTCTTTGAATCTAGACATCTATTTAAAGCAACTGAATGTGGCATGTGCAGAGGAAGGAATAGAGCTATAGATGCTGAAAGCAGTTAATACGTGAACCTTCAATCTGAAGATCATTTTGGAGGGGGGAAGGCCTTCACTCTAAGTCAAAAAACAGCTTTTCATTTTAAAAAAAAAAAAAAATGCTAGATACCTGAAAGTGCTATCTTATGACTCTTCACTGTGACCAACATTCTCATTTGTCCAATCACTACTGAATCTAATCAAATCAAGTCCGATGAATTTTATCGCACTATCTTCACACAATACTCAGCACAGACTGGGGAATATAAAATGCACGTTTAAATTATTTTAATTAAATCTATAAACCTATGGTTACCATTTCTAGTATACCTCTGTATTATTACTACTTCTACTATGCTCATATAATTACTCTTCAATTTATAATAGTTACCATACTAAAATCTTCCTGGGAGTTCAGCGTACAGCATTACTAAAAAACAGCACAATGCCCCAAAGAAATCATTTCACATCTGTTACCTGATGCTTGGGGGGTATTGGGGGTGGGGGAGAATAGACCCCTAGTTTTTTTCCTTTGTACAAAGCCAGAAATTTTCCTTTCTAGCAAAAGGTGGATAAACTTTCCCCAAGCAGAGAATCAAATCACCAGGAACAAATAAGACTCCCTGAAACTAGTACTAGACAAAGAGCAAAGAAAGATCTTGTAACTTGAAAGAAATGTCCAGTAAACATGTCAATATTTCCTGGAAGACGAGGGAAAATAATATCCTAAAACATATCTGATTTTATAAACAGACTCAAAACTTTCTTATAGAAGAGCTAAAGTTGGTAGACAATAGCAAGTTTTTAACATCTTCATTTTGGCTCAACCTGTTAGTCTGGATTCCACCTTGGCCTCCCCTTGGAGCCCAGCTACCTTCTCCAGTCAGGCCAGTTGAAGCCAACAGCTGTGTTTGGAACTCACTGTTGACACAACCACCAAGTTATGCAGCTATCTCTAAAAGGAGAAATGAACACATCACCTCCCGGATTTCACAGAAGGCACTTTCTCTCTCAGAGCGGAGCCGGCTACCATGACCAGCCAGTCACAGGGGATCCAACAGCTTCTTCAGGCTGAAAAAAGGGCCAAGGATAAGCTAGAGGAAGCCAAGAAGAGTAAGTGTCACCTGTGAAGGGTTTGTCACAAACTTAATGAGGCAGTGGGATGCAGTGGGACAAGCATGGACTTTTGCATTGGGCAGACCTCGGCTTAAACTCTGGTTTACTATTCTCCCTGTGGAACTTTGGCCTGTTTGTTGAAATTCCCTTGCCATATATTCCCCATCACCACAGTGGGGATGAAATTTTCTGATTCAGATGCTGTAGAGGGGCCATGTGCTAGGTGAAAAGATCATGGGCATTCAGGTTACAGAGCCATAAGCTTAAACCTTGGTTCTGCAACCTTCTTTATGCTCCACAACTTAGTTTTCTCAATACTGTAAAAGAATTAAGAGACAAACAATTTCATATTGCATCTAGTTATGAGTAAACTTGAGCAAACTACTTATCTCATGTAAGCATCAGTGTCCATTTCTATGAAATTGGATTAAGAGTTAATAAATTGTTCTCATCTCTCACGTTACCTTTCCACCATTTAAAAATACTTCTATTTTATTCTTATTTTTTCACCCTTTTTATTTTTATTGTATTTTGTTTATTGTTTTAGAGATAGGGTCTCACTACGATGCCCAGGCGGAAATCAAATTCCTGAATTCAAATGATCCTCCCACCTCAGCCTCCTAAGTGGCTGGGACTCCAATTTTTTTTTAATCAT